GACGTTTTGCACACTAACTATCAAACGTAGGGACGTTTTGTGCTAATAATCCATAAAAATAAATAATGGATATTATTTATAAATTCTTTGCAAGTGTGTAGAATATAAAAGTGAATTATAAAACATTTAACCCTGGTTTGATTCCTATACTTGTAAAACTTTTTCATTTAGACATTCATTTTCAATCACATTCATGTAACAAAATATTATATACGTAAATTTAAATTTTTTTCTACTTTTTAATCACACATTCTTTTAAAAAATACTATTCAATTATTTATTTATTATATATATATATTTTTTGAAAGAATAGCCACAGGTAAGTTTATTGGGCATCACTATATAACCATTTGGGCTAACTATAGGCCCACGTTTGGAGATAGATTTTTGGGAAAAATTCGATCAGGAATTATCTTTTACGAAATCAAAATTTAGGCCTCAAGATTTAAATTTACAAAATTTTGATTTTTCCATGAATTAATTAATTATATTTTACAATTAATTTATTAAATTAAATATTTAACAGTAATATAATATAATTAACTCACCCCCACTCCCACTCCCACTCCCACTCTCATCTCCATCACCCCCACTGCTCCGACTCTATTCCAACAACCGTCGATTATTCCAGCGACTGATCTCCGACCGCACTTAATTTCGACGACTACTCCGGTGACCGATCTGCCGTCGCTTAATTCCGACGACTGCTCCGATTCCGGCAATTGTTAAGGTCACAGTTATACGCAATTTGGTCACAAACACCTTATTAATTAGTTAAAATTTTAATTTTCAATCAAAACTTATCAAATTAATTGGTCACAGATTATTGCGAGGTCACAGGGTTATATTTTCAGTCATAGGGTAACGAATTTTAAGGTTACAGTTACCATATGGATGGTCACATACACTCAAACACCCGTCCCCCATCCAGTGCACCACCAATACTTGGTCAAAAGTCACAGATTGACCAAATAGATGGTCACAGACACTTCGTCCCATCCACTGCACTAGTCACCCAATCCCAATACACCAATAATACTGGGTCACAGGTCACAGACCGACTAAATAGATGATCACAGACACTTCGTCCCATCCGTCACAAGTCACAAACCGACCAAATAGATGGTCACAGACACTTCGTCTCATCCGTCGCCAACCCTAATCCCTAAAACACCCACCAACAATAACACCACCAACAACCACCACCATCTCCCGCCTGAACACCACCACCATCGTCAGACCGTCACAACACCACCCCAACCACCACCATAATAATAACAAAAAACAATCATCCCAACGCTGCCCGCACCACCACACCAAGAAAACACCACCGCCGCCATTGACCCCGCAACAACACCACACAACCACATCGAAGACCTCCACCGCACACACCACCGCATCGAAGACCCACAACACCTCCACTGCTCGCCACACCCACAGCCGTCGCTGCTGTGGGGTCGCAGTAGCGCGAAAAGTGCTGCGAATTCGCTGCTATGCTGCTACTGCGATTCGCAGCAACGCGAGAAGGCGAGAAGCTGCAGCGACATGCAGCAGCGTCGCTGCACGTCGCAACAGCAGAGGGAGAAAGGAGGGGGAAGAGGAGAAGGGAGGCGGCGGCGGTGGAGAGAGGTGGCAGTAGAGGCGTCGGATGGGAGAAATGGTGGGACCAACAGAGATGAAATGGATTAGGTTTGGATAGATTTAGGATCTTATATCTAAAATAAATTTGGTGGGGTAGGTAGTAGGGTGGGTATTTTAATTTTATAATACCATTATTAATTTAAAAAGATAAAACCTAATTTTTGATTAAATAAAACTAAAACCTAATTTTCATAAACTTAAAAGTAAACAGCTGATTTTATGTAATTATCCCTAGATTTCTTATTAGAAGGACAATTATCTTCTTATTTGAGCCCCATTTTAAAGGAAAAAAATATTTTTTTTGAAATAGCATTTTTTGAAGAATGTGCAGTTAAAAAATTAAAAAAAAAATCGACTTACGTATAAAATTATTTTATTGGAGAATGTGTGGTTGATATTTACATTATGATTTTTGTTAATTTTATCACATTTCGGTAGTAATGCATGTTTCCAAGCTCATTTTGCATTTATGTCCTCAACTTTTATCGTCGTATTTTTTTTCGCTACATTCTATATATTAACACATCTTGTCCTTGTCAAAAAAAAAATCGTTAGAAATGAGTAAAAAGATGTATTTGCTCATCATATTTTCAAATAAGCAAAAATAAACAATAAGTGCAAATATTCGACAAATATTTTTTTCGCACATAAGTATTTGGATATTTTCCATCACAAAGACTATATATACTAATTCATTGAAGGTAATTATAAGAATTCGATAAAAAAAGTTAAAAGCATAAGTAAGAAAATGGAGAAAAAAAAAAAAAAAAGGACTTCAATTCTAATTGGCAAGTGGTTAAAAGCACAAGTAAGAAATGATTCTGAAACCATTTCTATCCATGAGGTGAGGGCCCTTCAATTTTACGAGTTTAGTTTAGATTTCGACAGTTAAAAACCATTTGAAATCAAATCGAACCGTTCACCCAATTTAAAATATATTATTTTACCTAAAATAAATTATTTATTTATTAATACATTACTTCAAACAAATTCACTTTCTAATCGGCTTCTATTGATTTTTATTTTTTTTAATTATACTTAATGATAATGATTGTCATCAAAGACAAGATATTATAATTAATAGAAGATTAAGATTAAAAATTCCAAGAAAATGTAGAAACTTAAATGCTACAATGAACAAAAATTGAGAGTTTTAAGTAAAATTAATATGTGATACAATAAATAATTTTTTTGGTGCCAATATAATCACATTTTGAAAAATCAATATCAACGTATCATCATTTGGTCTGGTAAATTTCAAATTTCTGTACCACGTTTACAAAATCAAACAAATATATTCAGCATTTGATTTTCCAAACTCAATTTTACTGTCAATATTTTGATAAACTCTAAAATATAGCAGCAGGTATAAATTAGCTATAAATTATTGTAATTACAATTTTCGACGTGGCTGCATAGTAGACGGGATACTGTTTAACCCATCTTACCAAACGTGTCGAGATTTCAAGCAGAATCCCAAGTTGAAACTCAGATGACACAATCCATAGAACAACCTGAGTTTCAGCAATGTATGCACCATTCAGTTAAAATGCCACTTTAACAAATGAATTTGTGCAAAGATGGAAACAGAATGCTGAATTCATCATGTAGTTGATGTATACATAATCCTCCATTGCTTCCTCGACGAAGTTTAAAAGTCACAATCTTTGTTGGAATATTCCACTATTAGATCCTTCTACTATTTGTTATTAGATCATTTTTCTAGATTCTTCTCTTATTTGTTATGTAGTTAATTTGTTAGAAATTTACTCTATAAATAGAGCAATGTATTCACAATATTACTTGAGCTTGATGATTAATAAAATGTTCATCTTCTCAAGTTCCTTCAATATGTTTTCATATTGAATATACCTTTTAATTTCTCAATATGGTATAAGAGCGAAATGCTCCGTCTGCACAACAGATCTATGCAAAAATTCCACATAGAAATCAAAATGATCTTCTGCATGTGAGGTTTCCATGGAATAAATCTGAAGAATATCAGCAAATTCACTCTCCTTCAATTCCGATGCTTCTGCCATGTTCTCATCTGATTCCGGTAGAATGGCTGCCACAAATTTCTCCATTACTCCAGTGTCTTCAGAACCGTCTGTACTTGCAACACACCATGGAGCAACCTTTTGTGTTATTTCCATGGGCGAGTCTTTGGTGTGTGCTAAAGTGTGAAGGTCATCCTGTTGTTTTTCAGTTCCTTTATCCTCACCCATCTGCACTGGTCCCTTTTCTAGATTTCTGAGGAAGGTTGGATGGTGATATTTCATCTAGTTCCACAAAGTTGGAACTAACCGTTATCTCTTCACAATTGTCAGTAGTTCTCTTTGCTCCTTCAAAATTAACTCATTTTTCTTCTGATAGACGAAAGTGCTGGAAAAAAAAATCGGAGAGCATAAAGGGATACATTTCCTTGCTGGAGTTTGTTTAGCATTTCCACTTTTCCTTTTACTCGTCAATGTTGATGATGTTTGTCTTCAGCAAATGTCCGATTTTAGAGCCATAGATGCTCAATTGAATTATGTTGCTGTTTTTCTCTAGATTGCTTCTCTGCTGGACGTGCTTCTCTTCCAACGGCTTCTCTTGCATCTCTGTTCTTCTCTCTACAATTCAAGATGTTCCATCTTGAAGGGGAAGTGTTGGAATATTCCAATATTAGATCCTTCTGCTATTTGTTATTAGATCATTCTTCTNGTTCCATCTTGAAGGGGAAGTGTTGGAATATTCCAATATTAGATCCTTCTGCTATTTGTTATTAGATCATTCTTCTAGATTCTTCTCTTGTTTGTTATGTAGTTAGTTTGTTAGAAATTTACTCTATAAATAGAGCAATATATTTACAATATTACTTGAGCTCGATGATCTCCACAGTTACTTGAACTAAAGTTACATTACACATTCACTTCACTCTGCTCACTTCTTCTTTGCACGACTCCCTCCTGGCTCATTAACACCAAAAACCACCACGGACCACTGCAAAGAAATGAAGACGACACCACCAAGCAAACCTCAACTACCACACAATCAAGTGCCCACCATTAACAACCCAATTAACCCCTGAAACCCCAATAACACCAAAATCTAAGCACGGACTCAACATCATGATTAGAAAACGACAACTACAAAAAAATTAGATATATACATTTGTTTCTTTTGCTGTCAGACACCCATACACACAGGTTTTGGTATTGGATCATACAGATTTAGAAGTCGCTGAATTAGACCATACAAACCTGGATAGTTCACTCGAGGAGGTTCTGCCATATGCATTTAGTGACAATGGTGATTGTGTTTGTTCATAATTTGTGATTTATCTACTATTATTCGGGTCCAGTTTTGCAAATTTTCAATATATAAAAGGGGTTGGTTAAGTGATGCAATCGTAAGATGCTAAAAGAGCAGCTATTTGAAGGAGAAACTAGAATGGGATAATCAAGTTCTTCATGTATAACAACAAACTAGCAATACTAATTCTTGAATTTGTAAAGAGATATACAAGGAACAATCATGAAATAAGCTACAGCATTGCAAGATTCCGAGCAATTTCAAGTAAACTCTACATTTAAATTTGATTTGTTTCTGAGGTATTATATCAAGGAAAGATTACACACAGAGAACAATTCGTGGAATCGCCCAAAAGAAATTCACAAATATGGTTACCATCAAGCTAATCAGCACGCTTCCCTGTACAAGAAGCGGAAGAGGAAACCAAATTCCTCCAGAGATAACTTCCGCTTGCCATGTCCACAAAGGTCCAAAAACCCTGCCTTATTGCCCAACACACCTGCAATATCATTATAACAAAAACTGGCGCCAAATTCACACGTGACCAAAATTTAAACAATAAAACTACAAAGCAAACACGAGATACCTTGGAGGAAACGGTGAGGGCATCAGGGGATTCAATTTCTTTGTCGGTCGGGGACTTCACGTCGTCGTTTTCGGGGTTGATAGGAGGGGATTTGAGGTTTTTGAGGACGAAAAATCCGGCGAGGGTTGCAGAGAGGAAGATCAAAATTATTCTGAGAGGGCACATTTCGCAGTTTCTCTCAGGGGAGGTTATAGACAGAATTTTCTTGAAAGGAAAATGAAATTATTGAGACAAGAAGGAGGAGAGTAAATAATGTAAGAAAAGTATATTATATGAATGGTAGTGGTTGTTAGAGGGGTTCATATTCTAGTTCAAACTTCAAAGTCAAATGTTGCCCTTTCGGCAAAAGAAAATTGCACAATTGGTCCTTAAAATATAATTCTTCAAACAACTTGGTCATTAACTTTGTTCTTAAAAAGTCATGCACTCAGACTTTTGTTCTAATTAATAACAAAAACAAAGAAAGCACGCTCATCCCCTCATCTATACTACTTGTTATTAGCAGGAACAAAAAGTTCAACTCGTGAACAAAATGGAGGACATGAATTGCAGAGGGATTGGTAGCGCAGACAAGTAGATTGGAGGCTTAGGGTTGGGGTTGACGAGGAGATGAAGGGTTTCTATAAATAAATTTTAGTTAGACACAATTAATAACAAAATTCATTTCTGTTGAGTACGTATTTCGATTGGTTATACATAAGGATTAGTAAATTTGACACGTAAGTTGTTCTCTTTATTGAGTCGAGATATTGTAGGAGAGAAAGACCAAAAATACATCTAGTTGATGATTAAACACCGACTTATTTGTAGAAAGCAACTTATATCTTTATAACTTGTTGAAATTTGTTACAAAAAAGTGGATAATGGTTTAGTCATTATCCAACAAACATTTCAATTTGGGATAATTGCAGCAAAAGCTCCAAAACTTTAAAACACAAACAAATTTTTTTCAAACATTTGATTTGTTGCAAATGTCACTCTAACCTTTTGAAACATTGCATGAGAGACCCTTTTGGACGGTTTCCATCCAAAATACCGTCAGTTGACCAAAAAATTGATTTTGGCCACATTTTAATCAATTTTAAAAGGCAAAATGGTTATTAGCTATTATTCATATTAAATAATTCAATAATAAACAAAAAAAATATTTAAAAAGGTCATCCAATTTTTGCTCCAAGCCAGGGATGTCAGTAAATTTTGGGTGATCTATGCTGGAGCCTAGAATAATGTCGGTGCATCGGGGTTACAATTGTGATAGTGAGGTTGGATTTGATTAGAAGTGTGCAACCAAATACTCCTGTAATGCTGAGTACAAGATCAACGACGTTCCCCCTTGCTTCGATATTTATATGTGTGGGCTGGTGTTCGAGGAACTCATTGCTCAAGGTGGAGAAGAAGAATGTGAAGAAGGCACATATTTTGTATGACACCATTGATGGGAGCAAAGGGTTCTTTTAAGTGTCCAGTGGAAAAGAGTGTGAGGCATTGATGAATGTGCCACTTACTTTGGCAAAGCTGGAGTTGGAAGCTAAGTTTGTGAAGGAAATAGCGAAGGAGAAGATGGCGCAGTTGAGGGGGGCACAAGTCAGTTGGCGACATGAGAGCTTCAATATACAATGCTATGCCTTTGGCTGGGGTTAAGAGAAGAGAACCACTGGTTATGGTTTGGGGTGAGGTTGATTTTTATTTATTTATTTAATGTGATTAATAGCTAATTATCATTTTACCCTTTTAAAATTGATTAAAATATGATTAAAATCATTTTTTTGGATCAATTGACGGTATTTTGGTTGAAAACCATTCAAAGGGGACTCTCATGCAACGTTTCAAAAGGTTATGATTGACGGCTGTAACAAATCAAATATTTGGGGAAAGTCTGCTGGTGTTTTAACTGTTTGGGACTTTTACAGCAATAATCCCTTTCGATTTTGTAATTTGAATATAAAATAAGGTCCATTATGGGTTGGATCCCACCAATTTTCCTAACTCTATGACTTAACTTTTCAACGTGCATTGCATATTACTTATTTCGTTAAACCGTTTTGACAACATGTGTCCACTTTGCTTAGAAAAAGAAGCTTCATCGTGCTCCATTGCGTATACCATTTTGCGTCTTTTTCTTTGACTAGTGTCGGTCGTGCGTTGCACGACTCGACGTCAAGTGTGTGTATTGATAATGGTTATGTTGGGATAATTGAGCATGTTGTGACGTTGAAGGATGAACTGATTGAACATCATATAA